TCATCAGGTCCTTTCATGAGGATATGAAGGGCACTGTAGTTTTTGATGGCTCAACATCAGATCCCTTTGACATCCAAAGTGGAATGAAACAGGGCTGTGTCCTTGCACCAACCCTTTTGGGGATCTTTTTTGTTGTCATGCTGAAGCATGCCTTTGGAACTGCAACAGAAGGTGTCTATATCCGAACTAGATCAGATGGAAAGCTCTTTAATCTCTCTAGATTGAGAGCGAAGACCAAAGTCCAGCTGAAATGTATGCGGGACTTCCTCCTTGCCGATGATGCAGCTGTTGTTGCCCACTCTGCTGAAGACCTCCAACAACTCATGAATCATTTTAGCAAGGCCTGCCAAGACTTTGGATTAACAATCAGCCTGAAGAAAACACAAGTCATGGGCCAGAGCATGGACTCACCTCCCTCTATTACCATCTCCACGCAAGAATTGGAGGTTTTTCATGACTTTGTGTACCTTGGCTCAACGATCTCTGACGTTCTCTCCCTAGATGTCAAGCTGGATAAACACATTGGCAAAGTAGCTACCATGTTCTCTAGACTCACGAAGGCTTAATAAGAAGCTGACAGCATGTATCAAGATCCAGGTCTATAGAGCCTGTGTCCTGAGCACACTCCTGTACTGCAGTGAGTCCTGGACCCTTTGTGCACAACAGGAGAGGAAGCTGAACACCTTCCATATGCATTGTCTCTGATGCATTTTTGGTATCACCTGGCAGGACAAAGTTCCAAATAGAGTAATCCTAGAACGAGCTGGAATTTTTAGCATGTATACATGACTGAAACAGCAATGTCTGCATTGGCTTGGGCATGTCATGAGAATGGCTGGTGGTCAGATTCCAAAAGATCTCCTGTACAAAGAATTAGTGCAGGGAAATCGCCCCAGAGGGAGACCACAGCTGCGATACAAGGAGATCTGCAAGCGGGCTCCGAAGGCCTTAGGAATGGACCTCAGCAGAGGGGAAACCTTGACCTCTGAGCATTCAGCCGGGAGGCAGGCGGTGTAGCATGGCCCCTCCCAATTTGAAGAGACCCTTGTCCAGCAGGCCGAGGCCAAGAGGCCTTCCCGAAAGCAGCAAAATCAGGGAGCTGTAAAGGAGACAGATTGTATTTGTTTTCAGTGTGGAAGGGACGGTCACTATTGAATTGGCCTCCTCAGCCACACTAAACACTGTTCCAAGTCCTCTATTCAGAGCACATTACCATAGTCTCTCGAGACTGAAGGATGCCTAATCTAAGCATACCAACCTTGCCTGCCCTTGATCTACCACACCACTTGTATTTGATTCTGGAGGTGGTACTTTTCTGGATGCAAAAGCTGTTGAGCTCCAGCCTCCTTTAAAAATGTACATAGTTTTCCAATACAATGCCCAATGAGGGTTGCTATAAGAATTTACAAATGGTGTCTAGATTAGCTGGCCAGCACTGCTCATCATGTGGGGCCCAAAACAGTATACAGTATAAAAGGGTCCCAACAGGCATTAGCTTTGGGCCCTATTAGCATCCTGAGAGTTACAGAAGAATGTCCAGTGCCAATACTAATCATCTTCATATATTTCTAAGTCAAACAACCACATCTTCCCTTGTGTCACTTTTGATGGAATCTCATCACCTAGATCATATCATGATTCATCCCGAACACAGCTTTGGCTGTGTTGTTAGCCTGGGGATGGAGAGGATCTGCTTATACCCAGAAGCAACCTGGAGAGAAGAGTCATTCCAGACCCCATGTGTATCGTTCACCCTAAGTTAGAACACAGTAATGCATTATTCATGTTATATGTTGATGGGGTTAAGAGGTGGGGCTGAAGGAGATGTTAAAAGGCGGAGCCTGAGAGAGTCAGTGAGTCTGAGTCTGAGTCTGGAATCACAGTGAGAAGGATAGGTTGGGGGTCTGAGGAGTGATTAGTTAATAACCTGTGATAATTAATAGAGAAGGTTAATATTGATGATTGATGAATCTTGAAGAATGTGCTTGTGAATTGTTCCAGAAACCACATGTAATTAATAAACCTGTTTTGTTGAAAAGTCAGTACTGGATGGACCTTCGTCTTCGCTAAGTAAAATATGTTGATAACCGAGATCAACGGCAGCGTATCATAGGGTGTGCTGAGGTACCTTGTGAGCTCTGTGTTTGGGGAAACAAGCAGGGGCCACGAGGGCAAACGCCACACCATGTTTTGCTTATGTTCAAATCATTTAGAGTTATCTAAAGAAGTTCATATACAACAATACCCTTGTTTCTTTGGCCATCTTTTCTCTCTGTATTTTGACCATAGTAAGAATTCCTCCTCAAGGAAATACTGGGCTGGGTCTTTTGACGGGCCATTTATTTAACATTTCTTCTTTGTACAATAGTATCATTTTGTAGAGTGTTCATCAAAGACAAAGTTTCCTGCTGTGTTTGCTTTCTCTCCTCTCTCCTCTCCTCTCCTCTCAAGGGATCCCTCTTCAGTGGCACTTTGAAAATGTTCTTGAAAACACCTTTTCATTGTATTTTGGTGTGTTCCCTGAAACATGTGAAATAATAGATCTAATTAAAGAATAGACCTTTGGTAGAGAAAACATGTGCTTCCATGAACCTTGCAGATATCTGTAGAAGTCCCTCATTTGATAGAAGTATCTTATTTAGTGCATACTGTATATGAAAGAGTCTAGGAAGTCCCAAATCACAGTACAAACCAACCCTTTCTTATTTATTTTCAAATTTTACATGTTGTTTGCCAGTTCAACAAGTGATTTTTATTCCTGTGCTCAGAAACCTGCACAAACACATTGTCTGTGATTCTCCTGCACATGTTGCTACTTCTCTGATGAATTCATGTAATGATGGGGGAGGGTTCCACTGACAAAGCCTGGAGCACTAGTGTACAGCACCTTGTCAAATAAGAATAACAGCATAGGCAATTTCTAACTAAAGTGAGGTCTTTTCTTGCACATGCTCATATCATGATAACAAGTAGGAGCTAAAGATACATTTAGGCCAGAATCCACATGGCTGACTTGTGCTTGTGTGAGTGAAATGGTGTAGAATCGTGGTATTGTTTTGTTGTTGTTTGTGGTGGTTTTTGACTCTAAATCCCAGAATTCTCCAAGAATTCCCTAGCCTGAATTCTGGGAGTTCTAGTCAACAAACATACTTGCAGAGCTCTTCATTTTACTCACCTGGGGAAAGGCTGAGGCCTCTTCTAAGTCTTCTTTCCTGCCCTACTGCTTCTCAAGGGTGGTAGTCTTGTTGCCCTATGCTCTAGAGCAGTGGTTCTTAACTTTTGTTACTTGGATGCTTTTGAACTGCAACTCCCAGAAACCCTAGTCAGGACAGCTGGTGCTGAAGGCTTCTGGGAGTTGCAGTCCAAAACTCCTGAGTAACCCAAGGTTAAGAACCAGTGCTCTAGAGCAATGGTTCCCAACCTTGGGCCTCCAGATGTTCTTGGACTACAACTCCCAGAAGCTTTCGCCACCACCTCTGCTGGGCAGGATTTATAGGAGTTGAAGTCCAAGAACATCTGGAGGCCCAAGGTTGGGGACCACTGCTCTAGAGGAAGGTAACTCTTGAGGGCACACACACATACCCTGGAATCAATAGGGCAGGAATTAAGGCCTAGAAGAGGCCTCAACCTTTCTCCAGGTGAATGACACGAAGGTATTTGCAGGCATGTATTTCCAATAATTCTTCCTGGGGAATTCTTGGAAAATTCTGGGATTTGCCCCTCAAACCCCACAAAAAAAAGCCCCAAAGCAAAACAAAAACAAATGGCACATCCCTAGAGGACACCTGCTTCTTGTGGCCAGCAGAACTCCCTCCCTCTCACTGCTTATAGAAGATGCCATTGATGGGGAGAGATGATGATGGGAATAGGACCAGATGTATTGGGGGCACTGGTGCAGAGGGCAATCATGTTGCCACCTCCTCTTCCTTTTTACTTTCTAAAGAGCTGTTGTGGCACAGCCGCCGCCTTTTGCAGCCAGCCCTACTCCCTGACAGCCTCTAATGGTGCATGATGAAAGGGGGAAGGTATATTTGCCATGATATGGGGCTGTTCGTACTGCAGTGTGGGGGTTAACGCACAACTGCCTGCTTCAGGCAGCAGGAGAGCTTGGGCTGTCGCTGGTGTGTTTGTCCTTTTAAGAGGGTGGCTCCATGTGAACATAGAAGAATTATATAAATACTAAAGGGACATAAATGACAGCTGAGCAGATTGGTGCTTGATTGCTAGCAGTACAGTACAAGTACCAAAAAGCAGGTGGATGGGAGTCTCTGCCAGCTAAAGACAGCTTTGGAAGCACATGAAGTCTGAAAAGAAAAAGAAAGAAGCCAAATGGTAATACAAGCTGCATCTTAAATGACAGAGGTGCTAATTCATATGGGGACTCAGGGCCCACTTGCCTGACTTCCCCATATATCTCTTTCCATGCTCAGCTCCTCCAGGAGCACTCGCATACCTCCTGCAAGCCATAGCCCTGTGATGCCCAGAGGGCCCCCCCCTCCCACTCTAGCCCAGGGATTGGGCTCTGAAATTGCAGAGAGCTGCTGACCAAGCAATGGTAATTGTGCGCATTTGTATTGTGGGTGTAGCACAACCGAAATGCAAACTGAATAGTTTCTTTGAATTAAATCATCCACATAAAGCTTGCTCATCAATGGAAACTTAATAACTAGAATAAAGAGAACTAAACATTTACATCCAAAGTAAAAGAAAGGATTGCACGTGTTCATGTAGCAAGGACAACACAGGGATTTAGTTTAACTGCATGGGAGAACTAAAAATGGCAAGTCCATGAACTGAGAAATATCAAATTATAAACTTCAGGTTGTTGATGTGATGAATTAATCTAAGATCATTCTGTTCCACAATATAGCCCATTAGTAATATTGTTATTGTCAGCCAAGCAAAACAAAACACATCCAGCAATCCTGTTTTTTCCTCCCTCCCTCTCCCCCTCCCCTGCTTCCAACAGTTTCCACCAACTGCCAGTTATCCAAAGTAGTGTTATTCTTCAAACTTCCATGGCTCCCCTTCCTCGGATGCCCATTGGCCCAGATCTCTCTCACCAACTGCCAGTTCTTCCAAGCCTGTTGCTCTTCAGAATTCCGTGCTCCCATCCCTTGGGGGACTTATTTTGGTCCAGAGCAGAGTTGGACTGCCCTGCAGTTTGAGGCTTGGCTGTTGGCAGAGTCCAGGAGAGCTTTCACCCCCAAGAGCGAAAGGGAAAGAAGCAGAGATGGAGGCAATATCAGGTAAACATCAACTGGCAGTTTTACTAATCGGTCCTCTTATAATTCCCGGCCTCTAGTGGAAACCACCCCCCTCAGTCAAGAAAAAGCCAGCTCACCTTTCACCATGACAGCTGCAGAGGACTCTTGCTTCTGCATGCTTCCTCCAGAGCCCTGCTGCTCCTCAGCTGGCTATTTGAGTAACCGTTGAATCTAGGGCATCTGTGGAGCCAAGGCATGGTAGTAGGTGTGGCTGAGGTTGGAGAATATAGCGTTCCCCATAGAGATGGGCATGAACTACCGGTTTGGCCAATTTCCTAACAGGTGTTCTATGGTTTAGCACTCCACCCCCTCTGGCGGTTGCTCCCTCAGAGGAAGGCAGGGAAGCTGGGGGTGCTGCTTCCAAGTGGGTTCTCGCCCGAGGAGGCAGGGTGCCGAATGTGGAATAGCTGTTCAGCCGTTGGCTCAACCGGCACAAATCGTCAAACCAGTGTTTCTTATCCATGTCTTCCCATCTCTCTCCTGTCTCCATGTGAGTATTTTTTTGGAACAATTCGCTGAAGCAATCTGGGTACCGTCATCTGAAACCATAACATTTGCAAACTCTGTCTCCACCAAAATGTGCAGGACCTCCCTGTTGGCTATGGTTCCAGCGACTGGCCACTGTTGTTACCTTTGAAGTTCAGGGGATGTCTTTGTTGATGGAGAAAACTGGCATGTGTCCATAGCTAAAGGACGATTCTGGACTTCTGCTGCTTCTTTGAATACATAATATAATGTTGTAATGATTTATTCCTCCCATTAATATTCTTTCAGATGAAACAGAGGGACTTCCAAAGTATGGGAATAGGAGAGAAACATCAAGGATCTTGAAATTCTTAAGTCTGCTTCTACAAGGTAAGCCTTCTTTCAATCTGTTCTTCTGGCGTCTTNCCCCCCCCCCCCCCCCATTTATGTCTGTTCCTAAGGACATTTCTAGACAGTGTTACTGCAGCATGGGGCCAATAGAAGGAAGTGTAGCATTTTAAAACTTCGCACATTCTACTGTTCCAAGTTGTGAATTCCTGAATGTGGCACGTGCCAATGTTCATTTAGTCCCAGCCAGCTGTGATTTCCTCAGTAGGTGGTAAACAGTTCTTTGAATGACAGCTTTGCCTCATGGAGGAGGTGGAATCAGCTTCCAAATCCACATACATCCCAATGATTAAAAGTGCTGTGTTGCATCTCTGTCCCCTCTCATCAAATACCTCTTCATCTTGATGTCCCAGGAGAATGTATTCACGCATGTGGATGTGCTGTAGTGTTTTCCATCCCTGGACTAAATAAGCATGAGTCTTATTTATCGATATGGCTTCATACAGAGCTTGGATGTCCTTTTTTTCAGCTATGACTCCCAGAATCCCTCAACCACTAAGGGGGAATTCAAAGGCTCTCTCTCTCTCTCTCTAGGCTCTCTCTCTCTCTCTCTCTCTCTCTGTGTGTGTGTAAGTACCAAGTTCTGATTTTATGATAGTCACAATCAGCTGCAAACGTCTGCAACCTCATGCCCTCCATTAGGCTAAAACTTCTTGTCCTGCCCAAAGTAACAGAGTCCACTGTGGGAGGGAGAAATGGGCTGGATGTGACCTCCAGTGAGCATTGATGCACAGGTTATAACAGGGCTTGGTAAACTTTTGGCCCTCAAAATGGTTTGGACTACAATTGCTATGATCTGTTGCCATTTGCCCCAAGGTTGCGGGGGTGGTGGTGGTGGTGTTGTGTGCTGGCTGGCTGATAATCGTGCCAAAGGCTCCCAATCCCTGAATCTTCAATTGGTATAATAGGAGAAAGTCTGCGCTTCTGGATCAAAGCCGCCTAGAGTGGTCACAAGACCAGATGGGCAGGGTATAAATAAAATAAAATAAAATAAAAAATAAATAAATTGCAATCCCTCAAGCATTCAGTATCTGGATGTGCCAAATTGTGAGGAATGTGAGAGATCTGAATAGGGGAACATTTTCAAAATGTTGGCTCTATTAATCTGCTTCAGCATGTTAGAATAGGTTTTTAAAAAGGCTCTGTTGTTACTTTTTTTATTAAAAAGATTTAGAAAGTGACATGAAATTATACATCTGCCTAAAATGCTTCTAAAGATACCTCTAAAATTCTCTTTAAAGGTGTCTTAAAACTAGAAAATGTTACATATTAATCTTCTCCATTACAGTGATATCATTGTCACATGTTATGTTACTTTGAATTGTAGCTTCATTGTGTCGTCATTATCCCTCCCCCAAAGTAATTTATTCGTAATGCTTTCAGAGCAGCTTTCACTTCACTTTCTACAACTGCCAATTCTTCATCATAGGATTCCCCTTCAAAGGAGTCTGTCATCCTTGTATCTCTTCTGTACAGGCTTCAAAGGAATCTGTCATCCTTGTATCTCTTCTGTATAGATCTTTCAGTATACTGTTTCCACCTTTCCTTTATTTTCTCCTGATCAGTGTGCTTCCCTGTTAGTCATTCAGCATTTCTCTATGATTTCTTGGCTCTTCTGGAAGAGATTTCTTGTTTTTCCTCTCTTGTTTTCTCTTGTTCTCTCTCTGCGCTGGTTATTGTAAGAGTTCTCTTTGTCTCTATGTAACAGTGGCTGAAAAATCCATACAACCTTGGGAAAATGGTTGACTTCTCCAAAAATTGACTCATCCTTTCTAATACGGAGGGAGAAAAAAAAGGAGTAAAATATGAATTTGCATGTGCTCATAGTTTCTCTTCTCTGGCCTCTACCACTAAGGGCTTAAATAGTTGTTTGAAATAAATGTCAACCCAGGTTCACTGAAGGGAATTTTTTTTCCTATATAACTATTCTGCAATTACTTGGAATATTTATTGCTGGAAATATCAATACAATTAGGATAGATATTAGTTTTTTTTAAATGGAAGCTCTGGGGTTTAACTGGGGAGTGGACTGGGCTAATAAACATAGATTGCAGTCAGTCTTCATCACATTCCTTACAGCAGGGGTGGGCAATTAATTTCTGTAAGGGCCACATGAAAAATCTGAACTGTGTTCGGGGGCCGAACCAACTTTACTTAAAAATAAAATGAAACAGTGATGTTATGATTGTTTTTATTTTAAACTTGTTAATCTTCACAAATACTAAAGAGATTTTTTGCGGTATGTTAAAGATAAGCAGCTGATCAACTTTAGACAAAAAACTATAAATGGTTTTGATGTCCGGTGGGCCGGACAGGAGCGGCTCGCGGGCTGTATGTCCGCACTTTGCCCAGGTCTGCCTTACAGATTAAATAGTCCTTGGTGTGTATTGAAATCAGCGGGATTAAGCTAAACCATGGCAATCTTGTCCTATTGATTTCAGTGGTGCCCAAGTTCAATCAACTTGGCTCTAATCCAAATAATTTGTGTCATATACTCAATGTTATTCGTTTCTGGCAGAAGAAACAAACAGTAACTCAATACATCTGCTGCCCTTCGAGCACTTTCTTTGACGCAGCACTATTTCTGAAGTTTCATTAAGCTTTTCTAACCTTGCTACAGGGGAAGTGACAGAGCCCTTCCTTGTAACCCCTCGCCAATTCAATTGTCAAATGAAATTAAGGGATCACGTGTGGTTTCACTTGGGGAAGGGACAATGGCAATAACAAAACTTGAATCATTTTTTAAAAATTCTCAGTCACAGCCATGCAATATCTGAGCCCCCTTAGGCAATGGATGGTTTCTGAGCAAGCTTTGATTATAACATGATAGCTGTTTACACTAGTCAAGCTGTAAAAATCAAATTGAATTCAGGGAAAAAAAATCACTCCAAGTGTAAGATTCTGGACCAAGCCAGTATATTTTCTACCTGAGGTGAAGGATGTGGCCCCCTTCCTAGAGTTTGAGGAAGTTACCTTTTGAACTTCAGGATTGGCAGTAGGCTTGCCAGCTGTGGGGATCCTGGATTTTGTAGTTTTAAAAAAAGTAATGTTTCTAAGCACTGCCAATTCCATGTACAGAGATCAACCATGATGCTAGCTAAATCTTCCACCAGCTCTGACAGTTGTTCGGCATCCTCTATTATGCCTGAGTACTGCTAGACAGGCTCTAGGAGATGCAGGGCAGAGTGCATTGCCGTTTTAGCTCTGACTTGTGTTACTCTTGTTTGCTGCTTGAGACAGGTACCTTATTTTGCCCTGAAGAGATGCACAAGTGTAGAGAGTCGGAATAATCAAACTGCCCCAGAACTTGGCATTATTGCTGCCTTTCTATCCATTGTTTCACCACCCATTTCCTGGAACCGGAGGGGCAAAGATCATGAGCCTGTCAGAGAGCACTTTATATAGATGTGGCCTTTCAAACCGTATTATGGGCACTGTCTCTCAATGCATACTGTTGACACGGTGAAGATCTTCAGGTGACAGAAAGCATATGTGTAAGAGAGATTACCTCTTCAGGAAAACACTGCAGGTCTACTGAAGAGGCTGAAAATGTCAGAGTCTGGACAGTTTTAGCTTTTTTTTCTGTTGCCAAATCATCTGTTCCATGAATGCAGTCAGAAGCCCAGCTTCCAATTAATTTTTTAAAAATAATAATGATTGCAATTACAGTTACAAGAGTTATAGTTCCAGGGTCTCTAATAATATAGTTACCATGCTGTAGTTACAATTAACATTAATACTTCAGAAGCGATACCTTATCTCCCCTTTTATCAAAAGTAACTATAATAATTGTTTAATTGTTTCTACTTACATCTAAATACCATAACATTTTCCTTTTTATTTAATACCATTATCAGTTACTGCACAATCATGATTCTATTCTGTGGTGTTTAGTACAGCAGTCTAGAATTGTAACTATTTCATCCATTAATTGTTTTCACTGATAATGTCAACCCACCTTCTCTGAAAGTTGTGTTTTTTCCTATTTATTTTAAAAAATTTTAGAACACACTGTTCTAAAATCCAGAGCCATGATGTTCTCTTGCTTCAGGGACAGTTTCCCCAGGATACTGCTGAACTTTCAGTACCACTGATTCATTCTAGCATTTTTATCACATTGTCTCCCAAGTGATGGCCTATAAAGCTATATAGAGTGATCCACTGCATGCTTGACCTAAATGTAATGCTGCTGCTGAAAACGGCTCTGTTTTTCTGGTTAGCATTTAGATTTCCCATGTTGGTACAAAACCTACAATCTGTCACTCTCTTTATTCTTCTGCCAAAACTTGAATACTCAGGGAGGGACCATAGCCTTGCAGATGGTCCCTGTTCTGTCCCTAGTGTCTCTACTTAGATGATCTATGTAGCAAATTATAGAAAAGTCAGCCTGTGCTTAAGATCCTGGTAAAACATGTCCAGTCACAGTGGATGACAGCATCAGTGGCTCATGAACAGAGTATGGATGGCATCTCGCCTCTAAATTTCAGGAGGTACCCCCTGCTTCAATCATGAGTTGTCTATGAAAATACTTGGCTAGATAATTAAAGAGTGAGAACTATTATAAGGCAACTTCCTCTATAATTTCCAGAGCTTAACACAATATTTTTTAAAGGTACCTTGTTGCATTACTCACTACTTCATTTTCCCTGCTCTGATTCTACAGGTAAATTGGTATGTTGCATGTTATTAATGCATTACGTTGTTACTTGCAAGGCTAAGAAAATGCCGAGAAGTGCTCATGGCCAGATCTGATATTATACCTTGTAGATGTTTGCAAGATATTGACAAAGAAACCTTGATGAGCAGACCACTAACACTGTCTTATGTTGACATTTGGGACTGATGATAAAATGGCGTAAAAAGCTACCAAAATATTTATTTATTTATTTATTTCATTTCTGTACCATTCATGTGGGTGGTTTACACAGTATAATAAAACAGAGTATAAAAACAAAACAGTACAATAACAGGACAATAGTATA